GGTTGCTTGAATGTTGTACCTACAACAGTTAAATTTCTATTAAAACTTTCAGGTTTTTGTAATTTATACACAGCATTTTGACAACTTCAAAGTGAAAGAAAAAACACTTTGGCGAGTTACTTATGTAGAGGGTAGAGCGTGGTGTGTGGTTCCTGCCGGCAGTGCAACCGTGTAAAGTGAAGAAAGAAAGTCCTTACCTCCGCCTTTTCATAATTTTCTCCAACTTTTAGTGAGGTTCAGACCCCGTACACTCTCGACATGTGTGTGGTGTTCCCTCTCAATCAGCCAAGATTCTCGGTCGTACGCCCTGGCACTCAAGACCCTAAACAAAAAAAAAAAATAAAAAAAAAAAATAAAAAAAAAAAAAAAAAAAAAAAAAAAAAAAAAAAAAAAAAAAAGAAAAAAAACAGGAAAGATCAACGAATAAAAAGTAATCAGAGATATAAAGTTTGACAAAATGCTGTTGACCCTGAACAAAACTGTACCCTTTAATAAAAAATTCTAACTGTTGTAGTACACACATTAAGCACCGTGTTAAGTTTGCCCCCAGCTTTGTCTATTAGAAAGAGAGAGGTCAAACTCGAAGTTATGTATTAAAAGCGTTTATTCCAGGGTACCCCGCCTCCATTCTACCCGCCCTGAGAGCGGAGCAGACTATGAAGTATTTTCGAAATGTCGTTTACAAACGTCTTTAACGTGAACTTGACTTTACCTCAAGTAAAGACGTTGTAAAGACATTTCGAAAATACCTCATCACAATAATCTCAGGCTTCAGGCGCAGGTAGCATGAGGCGGGGTACCCTGGAATAAAAGCGCTTTTTAATACATAACTCAGTTACCGTCTCTCTTTCTAATAAGAAAGCTAGGGCAAACTTAACACGGTGCTTAATGTGTGGTACTACAAACAGTTAGAATTTTTATTAAAGGTCAGTTTTTTCAGTGTCAAACAGCATTTTGTCAACTTTATATTCTGATACTTTTTATGTCGTTGATCTTTCTGAAGGTTTAGGGTCTAGGTCCGGGCGTACGACCGAGAATCCTTGGCTATTGAGGGGAACACACACACATGTCGAGAAGTAGTCGGGTCTGAACCCACCTAAAAGTGGAGAAAATTATGGAAAAGCGGAGTAAGACTTTCTTTCTCACTTACACGGTTTGCACTGCCGGCAGACCACACACCACAGCACTAACCCTCTCATCAAGTCAACTACGCAAGTGTGTTTTCCTTTCACATTGAGTAACGGGATCGAAAGATAACTTTTCTCTCTCCATTGACTTCAATACATATTTTTCCGAAATAAGGTCCCATGGAGCTCCCCCGGAAAGGGAGAGACTTCGCCTCTCTATGAAACTCAAAAGGGAATTAAACTCATAAAAACTTTGCAGGGGATTCTAGGGGTGCCAAAAGCAGTATTCAGCGCATGAATGATCACATTCATTAGTCGGGAGTTTGTGAGAAAAGCTTTTTAAAAAGGCCCTGTTCTTCTTTTTGGGGTTTTCACTTTCCTGTAGTGTGTACCTTAGGTTTCTGTGCATGTAAATGGTCTGCAAATGCTAAAATCCAAATGTACGCCTTCATTGGACTCCTTTGTTTACTTCCGGAACATAGTGACATCACTACACGTATGTCACAATCACACTTCTATGCAGACCGGGCTCTGGTTTCAGACAGAGGGTGAAAAGAGGTGCTGCAACACAGGCAGTATGAGAAGACTTTTTTTTAACATTAAAGCATGGAGACATGTCCCAGTAGAGGCACAAAATAAAAATCTGATCCTGAAAATGAGCTCAATATGTCCTCTTTTGAGAAGGGGGAAGGTGCTGCGGTTGAAAAGACCATTTTAACAGTTTGTAATTTGTTGATGAAGGTCATAAAAGTGACAGGGAATGAAAAGGATGAGTACAATTATGAAAAAGGTGCTATTTTCAGCAACACATAACAGTAACAATATTTCTACTGACAATTGTTTCAATGACAACACTGACTGTAATGAGGGCAATGACAGCAGAGGTGATGAGCGTGCACGGCAGTAACAGTAAAGTTGAACTGTAGCAGCCACTGCCAAGCATTACTCATGCTTTAATGTAATGAGAGCGCCTGGTTCTAATGCTCAGTGCTTAACCTCGCCAGGAGGCAAGGGCACGAGCACAGGCAAGAACTGACTAACCACAGCCAACAAATGCACTCATTTCATGTATGCACCAGTACAGACAGGCTATGCAAATATTAATATTTCAACTAGGAGTTCCACTTCCATGCTTGATGAACCTCTGGCAGATCAGGGTTGGGACCTTGGCTGGAAATAGATCCTCTGCACCGACATAGTGAACACATGGAGAAACGTAACGCCCCTATGGAGCCATTTGCAGAAATCAGTTGCAATGGTTTGTTTATCCATTGCAGGTGGAGCAGTCATTACGGAAGCTGATGATTTATCATCAATCAATCAATCAATCAATCAATCAATCAATCAATCAATCAATCAATTAATGAATCAAATTGTAGTTATATAACCAAATATGACCGATTACACCTTTGTCTCAAGGGGCTTAACCACAGATTACAACACCATCCATCCTTAGACCAGGGGTCTCCAACATGTCGATCGCGAGCTACTGGTAGCTCGCCAGCTCTCAATAAGTAGCTCGCCAAGCAAATCCAAAATGTAAAAAATACACCAAAAAAAAAAGGAAATGTAATTAAAGGAATCTACCCTAATAAACGAAACCTCAATCATAGCGAACTCTATCTACTTACTACAACTCTATATCTATCTAACGAAATCCTGTTTGTGTCCCCCCACTTTACAAATATGTTTATTATTATTTTTTAACGCAAGCCGTCATCGCCACGGAGGAGCACACAGCCTCTGTGAGCGAGCGAGAGAGAGAGAGAGAGAGAGAGAGAGAGAGA